TTTGCCGCATGTTTGCACAGCCCAGGGGGGCTCGGCCGTCCACACTGCGGCCCCCCGGGTCCGTCTTCCCTGTGTGCCGTCCGCCCGGCCTGGCCCTGGTCCCCACAGCCCGGCGTTTGCCGGGAGCGCTAAGTGGGGGCCAGTGCCATCCGCCACCGCCTCCAGCTCCCGCCCCAAGTGCTCAGCGGCGCTCTGACCTCTCTGGACGGCCCCACGTGGCAGCCGTGGCTCACTGAGGGAGGGGGTGATTCCAGGCACCTTCCTTGGGAACACCTGAAAAACTCCAGGCTCGGGAGGGCTTCAAAGGCAGGATATCAGGCCGCTGGAGGTGCATGAGGTCACGGGCCAGTGTCCCCCCCCACTCCCCCCCACCCCGTGGCAGGGGCTCAGGGAGGCGTGGCCTGAGCTGCAGGTCCCAGCAGACACTCCTACTTGAGCCATCCCAGCCCTGCAGCCAGGGGAGGGTCTGGCTGCTGCATGAGGGAGCGGTGCCAGGCCTGGGGGTGGCACTGATTGGTACAGGATGGGGACCTTTGCTCCAGTGAGCTGTCCCTCGCCCGCCCTCTCCCATCCCCCAAACAAGCACCTGATTTAGTTGGACAGAACCGGCCGTCTCTTCGCCTAGCGTGGGAGGTTACCTGTTCGCTGGATGTTACTTGTTCCAAAACCCCCTTTGTCCCGGACGTGCGCGTGTTGACCTGTCAGGTCCGTGTCTGGCCCTCCTCCTTGGCCCTCTTTCCAGCAGAAGTGTCCCCAGTCCAGACCCAGCAGCCCACACGAGGCTCTGTTCCTGGAAAGGAAAGAGTGAGCGTTCGATGGGCTGCCCGCCTGGCTCGGGGTCTCCTCTGCCCTCAGCCTCACCCGAGCAGGGACCGGGGTCCCCGTGCCCAGCGTCCCCTCTGCGGGGGCCTCCACCCCTCCGGGGTCTCTGGGGAAGCAGGAATGAGGCGGTGGGTCCTCATTATGCACATCAGTGTTCTGGATAAAACCCACCAGGAGACCGACCTCCTGCCTTCTCTCCTCCGAAGCCGAGAGAGGAGGATGCAGCCTTCCGGAAAACCGTGGGGGCAATCAAAGTTGAAAGAAGACCGCTCCGTGCCTGCAAGCTCTGCCCACCCTGTGCACCACTGTGGGGCGGGGGGGGGGGGGCAGCCCTTCCTTCCTGTCCTCCCCCGGCAGGGCCGTGCGGTCTGACCCCTCTGTCCTTAGGTCGCAGGACCGTAGAGCTGTCCTGGGGCTTCCCATGCACGCGCTGGGCTGGCACAGGCTGCTCCAGTGGGGATCCGTGCCGCCGTGGGGAGCGGTGTCCCGGGACACCCCGCTGGTGTCCTGACCGATGCCACTGGGCGCCCCGCCCCGCCTTGGCTCTGCAGCCAGCCGCTAGAAGCGCGACGGGACCGGTGCGGTCGGCGGGCAGGTGTCGTCATGGTTATGGACGGCCTTTCCCCTGGAAGTAAAGTCGTTTTGGGTCAAGCACGTTCCCCTTAGCATCACACTGGCATTCTAGGGGTGACGGGGTGACTTTTCTACTCACCCTCCTGGAACAAGCCTGCTTAATTTTGATCATGGCAGACTCACCCCTCAGGTCCCACTCACTCACTGTAGGTGGACCTCAGCTGCCCCAAATCCTGTGGCAATGACGGTCTCTTGGTGGTTCCTTCATGCCCCGCTGAGTCCTGCTTTCCCCCCAACCCCGAGACCATGGGCCCGGCTTCCCTGCCCACTGCGCCTGGGCTCTGTGCTCCTCTGGACCTTCTTCTGGGGTGGGCGGGGCTCCGTGGTGGCCCTGGGGTCTCTTCAAGCCCTATTATCTGCCACGTCCTAGCATCCATCCCGGGAAGCCCCCGTTCTGATCCCCAAATGCGACTTCCCACGTGAGCGGGCAGCTTCCTCCTCCTCCAGGCCCCGCAGGCTGGACTGAGGTTCTGGGCAAGGAGCCGGAAGGCCGGGCGGGGCCGTGGGAGTGTTGGGTGCGTCTGGCGCCTTTGGAAGGGGCACAAAGCTCTCCGTCAGCCGCCTGGAGCGCCTGAGCCCTGGTCCTAAAGCAGCCGACTCAGCTGTTATGAACAGACACTGCTCCCCCGGGGACCCCGGAGAACGGGCCCCCTGAGGGTGGCCGCTGGCTTTCGACCTGTCCTGCTGACCCCAGCCAGGGCCATCCAGCCCGTGTCTCCATCCTGGAGATTTCTGGATCAGTGGGCTGTGGGGAGATGTCAGGCTGTGCTCACCTGTGGACACTTGGGGTGCTGAGGGGCCAAGAGAGCCCCCTCCTTGCCCTGTCCGGCTGCCCTCCCTGGGGCTGTGTGGCAGCCGGCTAAGCGTCTGCAGAGCACGCGTGGGGAGTTTGGTCTCTGCTCCGAGGGGCAGCAGGGGAGGTGGGGGAAGCCCGGTGGGCAGCGAGGGGGCAGCGAGGGTGGTGGGGCCTGGGGCTGGGCCCCAGGGTTGGGGACAGTGCAGAAGGAGCCTGTTAGCATTTTCTAGGCTGACTTGGAAAGAAAGACAGACACTTTCTCTTTTTCGCCTTGTATTTGGAGTGAACTGTAGGCTCACAGGCACCTGTGAGAACAGATTCAAGAGACCCCCGGCACCCGTCCCCTGTCCTCCCGATGCTACCGTCCTGCACTCCGTCCCCTCCGCGCCCTGCCCCCGCAGACTTGCTCGTGCGCGTGGAGTGTGGGTTGTGCGCTCAGTTCTGTGCTTTTCCCTGGCAGGGAAAGCCACATGCCCTACCGCAGTCCGGATTCGGGGGGACCCCCTCCTGTGGCCCCTTTAAGCCACACCTGCTGCCTTCTCGGCCCTCCCCACCCCTAACCCCTGGAGGTCACGGAGGGTTCCCTGTTGCTGTGGATTTGACATTTTGAGACCGTTCTACACACGGATTCCTTCTGGGGCTGCCTGCCTTCCCCGACCCCACGGCCTTGAGGCCGTGTTCACGCAAAGCTGTGGCCCGTGGCACGTTCAGTCACCCTTCTCCCGAGGGTGGCTGCTGGGCCGATTCCAGGCGGGGGACGTGGACAGGGCTGCCACGGACATCTGTGTCCAGGTCTCGTGTGCGAGCCTCCCTAGCTCTGAGGTGAATGCCCGCTGGGCCATCGCTTGGAGTCCCCAGAATAACCACGGAATAGTGGGGACTCTCCACGTATCCGCCGTACACGGGGTGCGTGTCCCAGCTGCGCAACTAATGATCTCTGAGGGATGACGGTCACCACCTGTCCCTCTCTGCTGGGGAACCGCCTTCCATCCGACTCCCCTACCGGAGGTGCCCCAGGCCCTCGCTCCCCAGATGAGGCACTCTGGGGGGACCAGTCCCTGGGAAGGTAGGGGGCGATCTGCAGTGGGACACGGCTGGCCCTGGAAAAGGACAGTTCAGAGAAGGAAACTGTGGGCCGAGTGGGGTCCCCCACGTATGTCCGTGTTCCAATCCTAGTGTCCAGAACCTGTGAGTGTGACCTTATTTGGAAAAAGGGTCTTTGCGGATGCGATTACAGTGAGAATCTTGAAATGAGATCAGCCAGGATTGTCCAGTGGGCTCTAAATGCAATGAGGGGCACCTGGGTGGCTCAGTCGGTTGAGCGTCCGACTTCAGCCAGGTCACGATCTCGCGGTCCGTGAGTTCGAGCCCCGCGTCGGGCTCTGGGCTGACGGCTCAGAGCCCGGAGCCTGTTTCAGATTCTGTGTCTCCCTCTCTCTCTGACCCTCCCCCATTCATGCTCTGTCTCTCTCTGTCTCTGTCAAAATAAATAAATAAACATTAAAACAATTTTTTTAATGTTTATTTATTTTTGAGAGAGACAGAATGCGAGTGGGTTAGGGGCAGAGAGAGAGGGAGGCATGGAATCCAGGCTCCGAGCTGTCAGCACAGAGCCCGACGTGGGGCTCAAACCCACAAACCATGAGATCATGATCTGAGCCAAAGTTGGTTGCTCAACCGACTGAGCCACCACCCAGGTGCCCCTTAAATTTTTTTTATTAAAAAAATTTTTTTTTTAACATTTATTTATTGTTGAGAGATAGAGACAGAGTATGAGCAGGGAAGGGGCAGAGAGAGGGGGAGACATAGCATCCGAAGTAAGTTCCAGGCTCTGAGACGTCAGCACAGAGCCTGATGTGGGGCTCAAACTCACAAACTGTGAGATCATAACCTGAGCTGAAGTCAGACGCTCAACCGACTGAGCCACCCAGGTGCCCCATATGTATTTTTTTTTAATGTTTATTGGTTTTTGAGAGAGAGAGACAAAGCGTGAACAGGGAGGGGCAGAGAGAGAGGGAGACACGGACTCCGAAGCAGGCTCCGGGCTCCGAGCTGTCAGCGCAGAGCCCGACGCGGGGCTCGAACTCACGAACTGCGAGATCATGACCTGAGCAAAGTCGGACGCTCAACCGCCTGAGCCACCCAGATGCCCCTCAAAATAAATAAATAAACTTTAAAAAAATGAACATAGAGACAGAGGCCTGAGGGACACCTGGAGCCCCAGAGGCTGGAAGAGGCAGGAAGGACCCCCCCCAGTGGAGCCTCCGCAGGAGCGTGGCCCTGCCTGGCCTGGACCTCGGACCTCTGGCCTCCACTCTGGGAAGAATGAGTTCTGTGGCTCTGTGCCCCCAGTCCGTGGTCACCGGCTAGAGCGGCCTCGGGACACTGACACAGGGTGGGCTTCTCCCCAGAAAGCTCCCCGCCACTCGGCGGGGAAACCCTGCAGACAGGGTGAGGGGTGGGTTTGGGGAAGTGGGCCCCCTCCTGCCCCCGGCCTCCTCCACGGCGCCCAGTGCTGCCTCAGCCCCCACGCCCGCCCTGAGGCCAAGCTCACGCACCGTCAGGCCTGGGTGGGCGTCTCTACCTCCTGTATTTGAAACAGGCATCTGGGGAGAGAGAGCCGGGGGTGGGGTGGGGGGGGGGTCTCAGATGGAGCCTCTCTGGGGCCTCCACCCCCAGCCCTGAGGCCCCGGGACTCTCCGGAACACTCCTGGCCCAGGGCTGCTGGCACAGGAGGCGGGAGGCTCGCCTAGGTTGCCGAGCCCGATGATGTTCTGCGGACCCAGTCCGTACTTTCTGCAGACTTTTTCAAATCTGTCCAGGAAGCTGGGACCCAGGTCCGGCACCCGTCCTGAGGACGCAGCAGCAGGGGCCAGGGTCCCTCACCGCTCCCCTGGGACGGTGTGTGGAGAAGGTCTCGGGAGGGGGGCAGGGGGACTCAGGCAGTGCTGAGGCCGAAGGGGGGGGGGGCGCCCTGAGCAGACGGGGCGTGCAAGGTGGGGGCCCAGACGCGGCTCGGAAGCCTGGACCTGGGAGCCCCAACCCCACCCTATGATGTGATTGACTGTGGGTGCTCTGGCAGTGGGGACCTCGGGACGTGGCCAGACCCCCACCGGCCTAGGGCCTGTCTTCAGAGGAGGGGGACCCTGAGGCCCGACGGGAGGGGTCAGGAGGCGGTACCATAGAGTGCCAGCACGGTGGTCTGTGTCCCGTTCCTGATGTTCCGGAGGTGGAAGATGAGGTACTGTCTGTAGTCGGTCTCCGAGAGCAGCACCGTATTGTCCCCCTCATCTGTGTGGACACTCGGCTCAGAGCGGCCCCTGCCCGCCGCCGGCACCCGGCACCCACGGCTCGTGGGCCGGGCGTGCTGAGCGGCCGTGGGTGCGGACGGTGGGCCGGTGGGCCTCGGCGGGGGGAGCGGTGTCACTCCGGGCGGGGGTCCCTGGGCAGCGTGGGTGGCAGCGGCGTGCGCCCCCTCCCCCGGCCCCGGGCTGGCGCACCTGCCCCCCTAGGGCTCCGGGTGGGGGCCGAGGGCCCGAGGAGACGCGGCGCTTTGCCGCCAGACGGACGGGGCAGCGCCCGCCTCCGCTTACGGCCGATGCTGTACTCCCAGTCCCTCTCCGCCTTCTCGCAGACCATGGCCACGTGTTCGCACTCCCCGTGCACCCTGCGAACCAGCGGGGCGTGAGCTGGGCGGCCTCCCTCAGCCCCCACCCGACCCCCAGGCTCGGCCTTCTCTCCCGCGATACGGGTGCAGCCGGTTCGGTCAGCACGCACATGGTGCGGAAATGGAATCTCAGACGCCCGTCCTCCAAGCTCTCGATGTTCCGGATGAAGACCCTCAGGTCCCCGTTTTCCCCGATGCGCTTTATGTCGTCGGAGGCCATGGACACCGGATACCAGATCCCTGAAACCTGCAGGCGAGGCCCCGCAGACGCACGAGGAGCCCGTGTGGTATGGCCCTGGCAACTCCTTCCTGCAGGCCCTGGGTGTATGGCCTCCTACCAGGGTCCCCCTCTGCCCTCCCAGAGCCCCCCCCCCCCATCCTCCCAAGGACCCCTCTGCCCTCCTGGGCACCCCCTGCCCTCCCAGGGATACCCCCATCCTCCCAAAGATCACTCTTCCCTCCTGGGGACAGCCCCTGTCCTCCGAGGTCCCCCTCTGCCTTTCCAGGGACACGTCCGTCCTCCCAGAGACCCGCCCCTCTCCTCCCAGAGACCTCCCCCTGCCCTCTCAGCTGGGGGAGGAGAAGCAGGCCCCCAGGAGCAGCGGCCCGGTCACAGGTCAAAGACCCTGGATGGAGGGAGGACAGACGCCCCGCAGCCCAGCCCCCGGGGAAGGCCCAGACTCGGACCGCAGACCCACCTTGGCCGTGTTATAGTTCTTCTGCACAATGGCCTGGGGGTTGAGCTCCTGGGCGGAGACGAGGCCCAGCCCCAGGGTCAGCAGGAAGAGAGCCATGGCCTCTGGTGGGGGCCTCACCTGCGGCCCACTGCCTTTATACCCCTTTCTGCTCCACGGTTGCCACCCCTCTGTGCCCAGCACAGCCTGTCCTCCCCACCCTTCCTCCGAGTGCCGGGAACACAGCCAAAGGCCGCCACCGCTGCCACCCACCCCCGCCCCTCATGGATGTCCTTGAGCCTATGACGGGAGCGCCCTGGAGTCCGCCTGGACGGAGTGTCCAGCCAGGTCAGAGGCCGCAGAGGGAGGTCGGGTGGGGCAGGGTGGGCGATAGGCACCCTGGGCCGGAGCCCCCGCGGGCTGCAGAGGCCCTGATGGTGCTGGGGCCTCGCTGGCCTCTCCGCGCCCCGGGGGGGCTGGGCTGGGCAGCAGACGGCCCTGGGGTTTCCATCCCCGCCCGGCCTACGTGTCTGGGCCTGAGAGCATCGTCGTGCCCGTGCAGCTAAGCACGCAGGGCGCCGTGCGGCCGTCCCGGCCGTGACGATGCGGTCGTGGACTCGGAGTGAAGGTCCACGGAGCCCAGGAAGTGCCGACTCCCAGGAGAGGGGCCGGGACGAGACAGAGGTTTTGAGGTTTGGGGTCTGGAGAACAGAGAGGGGGGTTCAGACGGATGTGGGCCTGACCCCTACCCTGCCCCCTCCTGGCCAGGGTCCAGAGCAGTGGTGGAAGGCCCCCCCTCCGTCTCCCTGTGCTGCGTGCGGGCACAAGGCCGGCTGGTGGTCGGGGGCCGGGGCTGAGCAGGACGTGGGACCCCCGATCCTGTGTAAAACACCAGGTCTCAGCGTGTGCACTGATGGGGTACTTTTGTTTCACTGAGCACCTGCCAGGTCTCCTGGCAGAGGGGGAGGCAGACCAGGCAGGTGGTGGTGGTGGTGACCGGGGCCTGCCTGCCACGCTCACTGCCCCCCAGCCTGCTGGCCGGCCCCTCGTGGGGAAGGGCCCCCTCCCTGGCCGTCCCCCGTTACGGCCGGTTCCGTCTCCACGCCTCTGTCCTGTTCAGGTGTGTGGCTTCTGGAACACGGCACCCGAAGTAACGGGTCCCCGCCCCGCCCCCCATTCCGCTTCGTTGTTCGTTATCGGGCTCCGGTTCCCAGGGGTGCCCTTCCCTGTCTGATTCACCCCCGAGGCAGCGACTTCTCCCTCCGACCAAACCCGGCCTCCCTCGGTCCCTCGGCAGGTACAAAGTGATCTAAAGGATGTTAAGTCCGGCTGTCGTCGTCGGAGGGGCTTAGTCGGGATTCCCTAAACCGGGTGAGTCCCGCAGCCACAGTCTCAGGGACTCCTCTGAGAAGGTGCTGCCCCCACGGCGTGGTCTCAGGTACGAGTCCTTCCATCACTGAGCAAAGGCCAGGCGGGGACACGAGGCAGTGCGAGGGCGGGGCGGGTGCGTTCGGTTCATGACGGCGACTCCCTCTGACCCTTGGCTCGGGGACCTGTAGCCCCCTTGAAGATGGGGGGGACGCTGGCGGGTGGACCGTGCCGGGTTCCCCTCTACGAGAGAAGCCTCCCCTCACCCAGACCCGGCCCCCCGCGGCCTCAGCCTCTGCCCGACCCGGCCCCCCGCGGCCTCAGCCTCTGCCCTCTGCCCTCTGCCCTGTCTTCCTGGGCCGCCTCCGCCTCTGGACACGGCCATCGACATTCCGCTCCGCAGACACTGGACGGTCACGGGCACAGACGTGCTCACACACACACGCACGCACACACCATCACACACGTGCACACCCACATACCCGCACTCGCACACGAGCGCACCCTCAAGTGCAGCTCGGTCTCCCGCTTTTCTTCACAGTCAAATTTCTCTTAGCACAGAACTCAGCACCTGCTCGAACGGAAAAATTGGGAGAAAACATAAAACGAGCCAAAGCTGGTCTTGACTTTCAGGTGAAGGCAGTGTCACGGGGGCCGGTGGAGGGAGAGGGGGGATCCGTGTTCTAGGCCAGCCGGGGCTGCTGGGAGAAGCAGGCTCACCCAGGTCAGGCTCTCCGGGGACGGGCGCCGGACGGCGCCTCTCCTGGGGGACGGGCAGGCCCCTGCCCCGGGTCTTCTGAGAACGCCAGGCTGGCCGCCCGGAGGCAGAGTGCGCAGAGACAGGCGTGAGCAGTCGGGGGCGCCACGGGGAAGCTCGGGCACACGGGAGAAGCTTCCACGGGAGGGCGGAGTCAGGAGCCTGTGAGTGGGGTGGGGCGGGGGGCGCCGGGGACCCCCACCTGCACCGAGGCCGGAGAGCACGCCGTGCCCACATCTGCTTCCCGCACTTCGGGCCCCCTCTGCTGTGCGGGCACACGACTCTGCGGTGACAGGTTGTTACGCAGCCCTGGGGAGTGGAGACGCCACGCATACGTGCTACTTTCCCAGTAATAACAACGCCTTTATTTCCAAAGGGGAGAGTAAAGGAAGACGCATGTTACGACCACAGATCAGGACGCAGGGGTCACGCGTGACTGTGATTTCGTTGTTCGCTAGTGGACCTGACAGGCCGCACGGCACAGGAACGTGTCACCTCTGTGGTCGGAGAGGGGCGTCCTGCATAGGCTTGCTGGGGAGCACAAGGGACGCGCTCCTGGGCTGGGGTGGACGTCACCTGCAGGACGAAGAAAGAGAAGCGGGCACGCTCTTTCTGCCGTGTGGGTGGGCACACGCACCATTCAAGACACCCCGCGGTGGGTCAGGGTCGGTCCCTAGAGAATGAGGAGGGAAAACGGAGGAAGCGAAAGGCAAAGGAGCACTCAGAAATATCCTCTGCCTTTCGGATGGGACAAGGTCCCGTCGTCTGGCAACCGTGAGAAGCCCCCGCTGGCAGGTGCATCATTACGACTGTGACTTCCTGACGTCCGCATCATCAAAGGGTCCGCCGACGTCACCATCCACGGCAGGCTGACCATCCCCGAGAGCAGGGCACAGGGTCCCGCCTGTGATTTCACAAAGACCCGGAGACAGAATGCTTGGGAAACACCCACCTGGGTTCTTCTATCCTCCTGGCCGAGGTACAGGGACCCTTTTGGGGGGGGTGTGTGGAAAAACTCGAGGGGTTGTGGCAACAGCGGCACCTGCTTGGAGCGGTGTCACCGGGGCACATGCTAGAGAGACCCCTCCGTCCCCCTCTACCTGGCATCTCTGACGCCCTTGAATTCGAGCGGTGGCCCGTTGCCCGTCACGGGCGTGAAAGCCGTGTCCAGGGCGGTGCTGTCCAAGCGGACCGTCTGGCGGAAGAACAGCATTTGCAGCATCCACTTTTCTAGTGGCCGCGTTGTCAAAGGTAAAAGGAACGAGTGGATTAATTTTCACGGCATATCGGCACTTAGTTCGGTAGACCCAGCCTATTATAGTTTCAAGATCGTACCAATGTGACATTATTAAGGAGATCCTTACTTCCTTTCTTTCCTCCTGCGTCTGCCTTCAGTGTGTTTTGTGCCCTCGGGGGACAGCTGAGGTCAGAGCAGCCGCACGTGGCTGGTGGCGACTGAGCTGCTCAGTGCGGATCGAGAGCCTCTTGCCCGTTAACTGAGTGCTCAGAAGTGAGGCATCAGAGGCCTCTGCTCTGCTTCGGCCACGTAACCCTCCAGACGTGTGAACAGAAACCCCGCGTAAACCTTCCAGTGTGAGCTCGGGGGGCTGGCTGGAGCCGAGCTCCGTGTTTCAATGTAGGGCCTACGCTTTGGGCTTTAATCCCTGTCTACAAGCACCGACCTTCGCGGGAGCTCGTGGTTTTTGTTTAAACCCCCATTTAGTCTTGGGACAAATGAGCCATCCTACTATCTGTGCGAGAAAAAAGAACAAGAGTTCTACTCCGGGGACACACCACGCCTCCCAGTTCAGGAAGACGTCCTCTCGTGACCTCGCTTTACTTTCCCAGCCGTGACGTGGGGGAGATTTCATGCGTCTCTTTTCTGCCACGCGGGTGGCATTCGCTGAGCAATCGAGGAGGACCACGGCCGCTGCACTCGGTCCCGGGGGGGGGGGCACCCGGCGCCCCGAGGAGCTGCGAGAGGACAGAGCCCCCCACCCCCACCCCGGCCGGCCTGGTGCTGCTGGCCGAGCGTTCTGGAAGCAGGGGCTGGGGTTGGTGTCCCCATGTCTGCGGATTAGACGTTGTAAACCATGGTTGCACGCGGCAAAGGCGTGTGAATGTTGACTATCTGACATCTCCTCCTCTTCTCCTTTTTCGCCCAGGAGACGATGAATTTGAAGAGAAAGATTGTGGTGCTGGTTTCATGTGTGTTTTCCTTCCTGCTGCTGGAGCATCATCTCAGGTAAATAGATGCCAGGGAATCACAACCCATAGTGACTGGCACAGATGGGGTGGGGTGCTGGGTTTTGGCCAGACGTTGACAACACTCTGGAAAGTTCCCTTCCCTCCGTGGGACGAAGCACCGTGCGATGGCTAAGGGTTGTTTCTGAGGGAGCAGCGTTGACCCCAAGCACCTGCTCCCGGGAGCTTTTCCATTCTTGATGGAGGGGAGGCAGACGGTCCAGAGGCTTGAGGCATACACCCATCGGGGGTTTGCACAATAAAAGTCGTGATGGAAAAGGGAAGCAAGGCCGACGATAGCACGGGGCTGCTCTTCCAGACAAAGGGTCCCAGCCTGTGTCCACGATGACCGGCGTCCGAGCCACAGCGGCAGGCGTGGCCCAGGGGGCGCCTCTCTCCCGATCCTCGACCCCTCCCCACTCCTCACGACGGCCTCAGGAGCAGGGCTCTCTCCCCACGAGCTATTGGAAAGGCATCATATTGTGGGAAAGAACATGTTTAAACATGAAGCCCTCACAAAACGCACATCTGATAAAAGGCTTGTGTCCAAAATATGCAAAGGACTCTTACAGCTCAACAACAAGGAAACAACTAATTAAAACGGCAAATCCGAAAGGACAGCTCACCCAAGAAGCTACACAGGGAGCAGACGGGCACATCGTGTGTCACGACACAATTGCAGATCAAACAAGGAGCCCCCGCCACACGCCCATGAGAACGACCCGAATCCCGAACCCGACAACACATGCACCGGCGAGGACGCGGGGCAGCGGGATTCTCGTTCGCGGCAGGGGCCACGCAACACGGGGCAGCCACACTGAGGACCGTCTGGCGGATT